AAGGAGGATACTTAAATTCTTAAATTCTTTGAGCAGAGAAAAGACAAAACAAAAATAAAAAGACCAAAAGCAACAAAGAATAGAAAGGACCAGAGAACATCACCAGAAACACCAATTCAACAGGCAACATGGTGCTAAATTCATATCCTTCAGTACCCACTCTAAATGTCAATGGACTAAACGCTCCAATCAAAAGACACAGGGTGTATCAGCATGTATAAGAAAATAAGACCCATCTACATGCTGCTTACAAGAGACTCATTTTAGACCTCATATAAAGGCCATATGCAAAAGACCCACAGCTAATATCCTCCTCAATGGGGAAAAATTGAGAACTTTCTCCCTAAGGTCAGGAACATGACAGGGATGTCCACTCTCTCCACTGTTATTCAACATAGGATTTAAAGTCCTAGCCTCAGCAATCAGACAACAGAAAGAAATAAAAGGCATCCAAATCAGCAAGGAGGAAGTCAAACCTTCACTCTTTGTAGACGACATGATACTCCTATGTGGAAAACCCAAAAGACTCTACCAAAAAACTGCTAGAACTGATACATGAATTCAGCAAAGCCGCAGGATATAAAATCAATGTACAGAAATTGGTCGCATTTCTATACACCAATAATGAAGCAGCAGAAAGAGAAATCAAGGAATTGATCTCATTTACAATTGCACCAAACCATAAAATACCTAATAATAAACCTAACCAAAGAAGTGAAAAATCTATACACTGAAAACTATAGAAGGCTTATGAAAAAAAAAACCTTTTTGAAGATGACACAAAAAAATGGAAAAACGTTCCATGCTCTTGGATTGGAAAAACAAATATTGTTAAAATGTCGATACTACCCAAAGAAATCTACATATCCAATGCAATCCTAACAAAATAACACAGCATTCTTCACAGAAGGCTAGAACAAACAATTCCAAAATTTGTATGGAATCAGAAAAGGCCCCGAATAGTCAAAGTAATGTTGAAAGAAAATCCAAAGCTGGAGGCATCACATTTCTGGCCTTCAAGATGTATTACAAAGCTGTAATCATCAAGACAATATGGTACTGGCAAAAAAAAACAAGTACACAGAAAAATGGAACAGAATAGAGAACCCAGAAATGGACCCACAAACATATGGCCAACTAATCTTTGACAAAGCAGGAAAGAATATCCAATGGAATAAAGACAGTCTCTTCAGCAAGTGGTGCTGGGAAAACTGGACAGCAACATGCAGAAGAATGAACCTGGACCACTTTCTTACACCATACATAAAAAATAAACTCAAAATGGATCAAAGACCTAAACGTAAGACAGAAAGCCATCAAAATTCTGGAGAAGAAAACAGGCCACAATCTCTCTGACCTCAGCTGCAACAACTTCTTATTTGACATATTTCCAGAACCAAGGGAAACAAAAGCAAAAATGAACTATTGGAACCTCATCAAGATAAAAAGCTACTGCACAGCAAAGGAAATAACCAGCAAAACTAAAAGGCAACCAATGGAATGGGAGAAGATGTTTGCAAATGATATATCAGATAAAAGGTTAGTATCCAAAATCTATAAAGAACTTATCAAACTCAACAGCCAAAAAACAAATAATCTAGTGAAGAAATGGGCAGAAGACATGAATAGACATTTTTCCAAAGAAGACATCCAGATGGCTAACAGACACAAGGAAAGATGCTCAACATCACTCATCATCTGGGAAATACAAATCAAAACCACAAGGAGATACCAACTCACACCCATCATGATGAATGGCTAAAATTAACAACTCAGACAAGAGATGTTGGCAAGGATGCAGACAGAGGGGAACCCTTTTGCACTGGTGCTGGGAATGCAAACTGGTGTAGCCCCTCTGGAAAACAGTATGGAGGTTCCTCAAAAAATTAAAAATAGAACTATCCTATGACCCAGCAGTTGTACTACTAGGTATTTATCCAAAGAATACAAAAATGCTAATTCTAAGTGGCACATGAACCCCATGTTTATAGCAATACTATCAACAATAGCCAAAGTATGGAAAGAGCCCAAACGTCCATCGACTGATGAATGGATAAAGAAGATGTGGTGTGTGTCTGTATATGTATGTGTATGTGTGTGTGTGTGTGTGTGTGCGCGCGCGTGTGTGTGTGTATGTGCGTATATATATACATGATGGAACATATATATATATATATATATGATGGAATAATACTTGGCAATCAAAAAGAATGAAATCTTGCCATTTACAATATGGATGGAACTGAAGTGTATTATACTAAATAAGTCAGTCAGAGAAAGACAAATATCATAAGATTTACTCATATGTGGAATTTAAGAAACAAAACAGATGAACAGGGGAAGGGAAACAAAAATAATATAAAAACAGGGAGGGTGACAAACCATAAAAGACTCTTAAATACAGAGAACAAACTGGGGGTTACTGACAGGGTGTCAGGTGGAGGGATGAACTAAATGGGCGATGGACATTAAGGAGGGCACTTGTTGGGAGGAACACTGAGTGTTATATGTAAGTGATGAATCACAAAATTCTATTACTGAAATCATTATTACAGTATATGTAACTAACTTGGATTTAAATTTTAAAAATTAATTAATTAAAAATCAATATAGTAAACAGCTTATAAAGATAATGACCACATATCAAAATCAATTTAAAAAAATACTTTTCTCATGTAAGAGGCATTTATACCTTAGGATGAAATGCCCAATGAAAGTATCATACATGGAATCAAACAATTTAGGTCAAAGAAGACTAATGTGTTCTAGAGAAAAAGGTTCTAGTGGTGACAAAGACGTCGATGACAAAGATGCTGAATGTTCAAAGAAAGAGTAAAAAAAGAAAAAAGTACTTTAAAATTATTTCACATAAAATGTAGTTAGATTGTGAATGTTCAAAGAACTGAGAAGTAAAAAAGAAAAAAATTCATTTAATTACTTCACATAGTATATGGTTGTAAATGTATGGTGTAAATAAACTAAATTATATATAACTATAAAATTGACTTATTTCATAAACATCTCTCAAAACTTTTAGGACCAAGTTGATCAAAAGCTTTGTATTACACCCTTTCCTTGGAAGAATGAGAAGAGCTTTGCATTTTGAAGTCAGGCATACATAATATTTGACTAAGTTTTCTTCAACACACTCAATAAGTGGCTATTGGTCTGAGCTGGTTTCTAAAACCATAGTATAATACTATAAAATTAAACAGTCATTATAAACAGTTATTGAGTATTGCAATGGATATCGACCCTTTTAATTTAAAAAAAAAAATCACTATATACTTAGGGAATGGCTTGGTGCACAGAAAAAGCACCTAAATGGGAATCAGGAAACAGATTCTGGTCCAGTATTGTCAGTAAGTAGCAGTGTAAGTCATTTATCAGCAAGTCATTTATCATATAAATCCCTCCTAATTCATTATAAAAAAAAAATGGATATTAGTTCTAGGGCTCATTTCTAGAATCAAAGTTCTGTAATTTCAAAGACATGAAAGAAAATGGCCCCTGATTAAGGGGCCATAAAAATACTCATGATATTTAAAATGCTATACCTTGGGGTGGTTGGGGGGCTCAGTCAGCTGGTGAGTCAGGCCCAAGTCAGCCTCTGCGCTGACAACTCAGAGCCTGGAGCCTGCTTTGGATTCTGTGTCTCCCTCTCTCTCTCTCTGCCCCTTCTCCACTCATACTCTGTGTCTCTGTCTCTCAAAAACAAACATTAAAAAATACAAGAAAATTGTTTTGAAAAATCACTATATAACCTTGAGAAAAAAATATTTTGTGTGTGTACTTTTTATCTGCATATAGGTGACACAAAGCTTCACATTAGTTTCAGCTATATGACATAGTATAGCTATAGTATCTCTACATGCTATGCTATGCTCACAAGTGTAACTACCATCTGTCACCACATAATGCTATTACAGTATCAATGACTATATTCCTGATGCTAAGTCTAAAAATAATAGTTTTGAAGGACTCTATCTACAAAAAATTATTCTTCATACAGATATATACAAATTGAAGATTGCATTAAATTAAACCATAAGGGACCTGAGTTAGAAGTTAAAATATCTTTAACATTAGGGAGTGTCAAACATCAGGAAAATCCTGACGGAAGTTTGTAAAATTCATGAGTATATTTATTAAAGGATAGAACCTTAATAAGGATATCTAGAATAAGTGTAGTCCGACCTGAAGGTGTATAGCCAGCCACAGATTCCTCGAATTTTTAATTCCACAGTATTATTTGACATTAAGCGTTTGCATAATAATTAAGGCTATCAGAACTTTCTTATGGTACAATGGGAAAAATAAAGTAGACTAAGTAGAAAATAGAAGCATATAAATTATTTCATAGCTGTCTCCTTTGGACAATGACACTAAAAAGATTAAGATGAAATTTTAAAATTCCCAAACCTATCATTTTTAACTAAAAACCTCAAAATTCCTGTGAAATAATATACTATAACAGAGCAGAAAAATAGCAATGGAGATATCCCAGAATCGTATGTTCAAGTTATTTTTCCCTGAAAGAACCCTAAGAACATTAAAATTTTAAAAAGGAACAAAATTTTGTTCATATACCAAACTTTAAAGTGTTTTTCCTTATGCCAATCAATACTAGGCATTTACCTTTTCATAAAGAAACAAAAGAAACAAAATTACATTTTGTCATCTTAATAATGAGGTTGGGGAAGTCAATTGAGTAAAATTAACAACACTTTAATATTTTACCTGGGGAAAGAAAATGAAACTATATATTTCCCAATATGCCCTTAGTCTAGATGATGCAATACTACATGTTTTAACACGCATGCAGAAACAATTATTTCCTATGTTAATCTTATGTAATGTAAATTATCCTAATCTTACTAGTATTAAGGTAATAGTGTTAATTACATCTTTATATTTTATATCATTTGAAAACTCAGATTGTTTACATACACCTCCATAGAGGAATAAACCATGTACCACCTAGGGTTTAATGTACTTACAATTCCTTGTGTTTGTCTTCAGCCAAGATTTGGTCATTTGGTTTAAGAGAATACCTGTAACACAGAAACAAAAAAATACATCATATAAACATATAAGTACCTTTGCCTCATGGACATCTGACTGTGGTATCAACATACAATGAGTTAACTCCTATCAAATAAGCACTACTACACTGTTACAGTCCTCTGTCTTCATTGATAAAACATTGAAAAATACCTAAATTCTTTGTTGTTCTATTAGTCACTGCCACAGACACCATCCAAAGAACTGAAGTAGGATCAACCTGACCTTTGACAACACAAGGTATCTTCAATATTCTTCTGTAGTGAATAATCTGCAATGTTACATGCCTCTAGTAGTTCAAAATTCAAGAAATTACTACAATAAGTATTTAGAAGTTCACAAAACAATAAGCAGTTATTCATTCATTAAATATACAGTAAACATCTATGCACCAGACTATGTCCTAGGTGGCATGACACAGGAGGAAAAATAAGTTGTTATTTATTAGCTTAATGGCCATAGGCAATCATTTCTTTAAGTCTCACTTTCCCTGTCTATAAAACAGAAGTTGAGATAAATATTAGAACATTTATCTTTCAAATTACCATATAATTTGTACTGCTAAAGGTAACTGTTTCTGAGGAGTATACAGAAAAAAATAAACATTGGATGGCAATTCCCAGGTCTTCAATTCCCACTTGTGTTCAATTCTTTCCTAAAACTAAGCTGCCTGACAATGGGTCAGGGGTTTAAGTGGAAAGGTCATGCATGTAGAGTCTCCTTTCTTGCCTCCCCTTTCACAAGTCCCTTTACCCACTTTACGAAAAGAATGGCAAACCTCTCACACATCCTAAATAGAACTGTACTACATTGGCTGGGGTATAAAAACCTCTGAAGTGCTAAACAAGAAATGGTTCATAATATTTTTATCTTCAAAGCCTCTGTAAGTAAAGTACCATAAACTGCCCACAGGAATTCCTGTTTTATACATTATTTCTGTAAAGAATGAAGCCACAAATTATCAATGGGGAACTATCTGTCGTAGGATGTTCTGTTTTCAGGTATATTATAGAATAGGGCACAAGTTGATTACAGTTTTCTTTAAAAAGTTTATCTTTTTGGGTGCTTGGGTGGCTCAGTCAGTTAAGCATCCAACTTAGGCTCAGGTCATGATCTCACGACTTGTGGGTTCGAGCCCCGCACTGGGCTCTGTGCTGACAGCTTGGAGCCTGGAGCCTCCTTCG